ATATAGTTCCTCCCACATCTCATTCCTCTCTCTATAGGAATTAGGGCCATARACATTGGTTAAGACCCATACACACCCATTTTCTATATTCTTGCACTTGATGGAAACTGAGAATCTGCCTATCAATTCWTCCACTACTTCCACCACATCCTCCCTCCATAGTGTTACAATCCCCCCCGAGGCTCCCCAAGAAGGAGAAGAGCTCCAACCTAAACCTCTAGAYCTCCAAAAACTCCTCACCCATCTCCCATCTAATTCCATCAGTTTGGATTCTTGTAACAGCACAATATCAGGTTTTTCCTTTCGGAGTAGGTCTTTGGTCGCCCTTCTCTTCCTTGCACTCCCTAACCCTCTTACATTCTAGCTAATAATTTTCATCTATACAAAATAGCAAAGGAACCCAATAAGAAGCCATATTCTCCTCATTTTAGGCCCTTCCTCCTATCCCCTTTACCACTGAATTCTAAATCCCCCTCAATGTCTGAGATTAGCCTTTCCACTTCAGATCTTTTTTTCTTATTTGTTCCTCTTTTCCCCCCCTTCCCAATTTCTCCATCCTTTCCAGCCAATGTTTGAGAAAGRATTTTRCCCTTCTCACACTTAKTTTKGCTACAGCATCTTTCTACGAGTCCTTCCTTTTTATTTTGTTCCTCCATCATTGTACAGATCAACTCCCAAATTCTATCCGCCTCCCCCTTACTACTCCCTTCCAACACCCTCTCTCCTCCTTAACTATCACCCTCTCTCTTGCATCAGAAACTCCTAGATGGGAAGCTGGGATATCTATTACAAGCATAGCAAACAAGTCAGTACCTAAAACAAAATTGACACCCATACCTGATAGAACGGGGGTAGGACTATAATCACTAAAAATGACTTGCTGACAGGCGGCACATGGTTTTAAGGCCTTTCCCCTTTTTGGACAAGGTTGGGAAGTAGACATGGTGAAAGATTCACTTCCTGACGACCTACCCACTTGGAAAACCTTTCTCTGTGTTTCCAACACTGGAATACCCGCATCCATCCTCACGGCCGATTCTTGTCCCTCTCCACCACCATCCTGTAATTCATTAGACTCAGGGTCAGCTCCGTCAACGAAGGGAGGAGGAGTTTTCACAGCTTTAGAACCAATTTCTTCACCATNAGTCTTCCCGCCACCTGCCTCTTCAGTCTCTTCCTCTAAGAACAACTCTGTATGCAAACTTTCTGTTTCAAGAAGATCATTGTTGCTTTTCGAAGCCAAACTTCCCAGACTTAGTGTTTCGTCTCTATCAGAATCGTCATTGTTGTTTTGTTCACTCAACCAATCTTCAAGCCATGTTTTGTTCTCATCACTAGGCTTCATGTATCTCGGGTTGCGCCTATCTGGTGAGAGACGGTTCGCCAGGTTGGATGGGACCCACTGTAGGGAGCCTCGAGACTGCGAGTCTTGAGACTTTTTTGCGCCTGAACTGTTCGGTGGAGAGGAAGGGTTCAGGGTTGAAGATGATAGACGCTTTATCTCGTCTATCAGCTCATCCCTCCTCCTAGTCACGTGCTTACTTAACATGTCCCTCGGCCCATCTATCTTATAATGGGCCTTGGGCTCAAGACTATATGAGCCCAACTTTAGGTCCTTTACTTGAAAAGCCTTCTCCGGCCCACCATAATAGGGAACCACTCGATTGGGCCCTTCTTTTCGTCCCATGTGACCACTTAAAGAGTCACGCCCCCTGTTTTAATGGTCGAACCAGCAACCTTCACTGTCTGAGATTGCTGGTTCAGCCTTCTCCCTTTCGACAGTATAAGCTTTTTGTCTTTTTCCCCTAACACCATTTGTCATACCCTCTTCTTGCTTTCTCCAGGTTTGACCTTCCAACTACCCCAAAGCTTTTTGGCTTCCCAGAATATGTTGGCCCTTTTTAG